CTAGGTTCGGCCATTAAGCTACTAGGTTCGGCTATTAAGTTACTAGGTTCGGCCATTAAAGCTACTAGGTTCGGCCGAAAGTCGAGCGTCATTGAGGCAGCCTCCAACGAGAGTTCTGCACTCAGTGAAATGAGTAAGACTTTGTCCAAATAGCGATGTTTTTTCCCCTGTGTACGTCATCCTGACCAAGTTTGGCCCTGCAAAAAAGACGTATCAGTGCTATACGTCCGCTCTCTGCTCGTGTTGCAGGTAAGATAGTGAGTCACTGTCTGGACAATATGGCTTATTCATTTTCTGAGTTTGGTGTATGATTCAGGTAATGACAGCTAATACAATCACTTTATGTGCATAGAAGCCTCTTTGATCAATGAAAATCATTCAAATCTCGTAAATCCTGATAAATTTATGTCCGAAGTTCGAGACATATATGCACCGATCTGCAATGAACTCAGCCGGCATATGAACGTGCTAGCTGAACTCATTCATTGATGCATTTTAATTCTTCTAAGTGATTTTGTTGGGGGGTTCTTGCGAAGTATTTCTATTGGAAGGGCTCTTTTTAAGTGATTCTGTTGGAGAGGTTGTAATAAAGTCGGGGTCAAGCAAGCACGATTTGCAACTCCGTAGGCGTAGGTGATGGACCCGGCTCCTGGCCAACGTTTCCGAGAAGCAACGGCAGTGAGAAACTTCTACTGATCTATACAACTGTTACTCCTGCATGGGAGCTTGGACGACCTACGAGTGAATTCGCGAAGCTTTACTTCACAGTCGATATTTAACTATAGTATAGTATAGTATAGTATAGCGGTTTCAGGGTTTATTAGGCCGTAGGCCTGTCGCCGATTCTTAACATTGCAGAAAATCCACAGCGTGTTGCAGGCTTGAACTCTCAAATCACTGCTTCAAATTTTCTTTGCTTAACTGACGAGTCCTCATTGCCAGAGGCCGCAGATGGTTTACGGAGAATGAAATACAGAATTTTGGTATCTTACTGTACTTCTTTTCAGTCCATCTTCACATGACGTGCTAAATGTTGCTTCGTCTACGCGTCACACCGTTGTTTATCCCAGGAACAGGGATCGACGCTTCTCTAACCGCCAAAATTTCCACCGGGAACGAGCCCTGTCTCTTATACACATCTAGATGTGTATAAGAGACAGCACTACGACAGCCTGCATACGGTAATTACCCACGGTTATTTTGAGCATCAAATATTTAATAAAGATGAANGTGTCCAGGGTAAGTTGCTGACTCGCAGGGAGTTCAGGCTTGCCAGGTTACAGGTTCAAAACGGAACCTTGCCGGTGTCCAGGGTAAGTAGCCAACTCGCGGGGAGTTCAGGCTTGCCAGGTTACAGGTTCGAAACGGAACCTTGCCAGTGTCCAGGGTAAGTTGCCGACTCGCAGGGAGTTCAGATGTGCCAGGTTACAGGTTCGAAACGGAACCTTGCCAGTGTCCAGGGTAAATTGCTGACTCGCAGGGAGTTCAGGCTTGCTAAGTAACATGTTCAAAACGGAACCTTGCCGGTGTCCAGGGTAAGTAGCCGACTCGCGGGGAGTTCAGGCTTGCCAGGTTACAGGTTCGAAACGGAACCTTGTCGGTGTCCAGGGTAAGTAGCCGACTTGCGGGGAGTTCAGGCTTGCCAGGTTACAGGTTCGAAACGGAACCTTGTCGGTGTCCAGAGTAAGTTGCCAACTCGCAGGGAGTTTGGGCTTGCCAGGTTACAGGTTCAAAACGGAACCTTGCCATTGCCAGTGTCCAGGGTGAGTTAGGTTCAGGTTGGCCAGGTTGATGACGGGTAGACATCAATTTGGCACTTGCCGGCGTCCACGGCAGGTCAGGGTTCAGGTTGGCCAGGTTGGTGACGGGTAGACATCATTTAGCACTTGCCGGCATCCACAGCAAGTCAGGGTTCAGGTTGGCCAGGTTGATGACAGGTAGACATGAATTAGCACTTGCCGGCGTCCACAGCAAGTCAGGGTTCAGGTTGGCCAGGTTGATGACAGGTAGACATGAATTAGCACTTGCCGGCGTGAGTGGCGTCCACGGCAAGCCAGGGTTCAGGTTGGCCAGGTTGGCGACGGGTAGACATCATTTAGCACTGACGCGTCCTCATTGCCAGAGGCCGCAGATGGTTTGCGGAGAATGAAAAACAGAATTTTGGTATCTTACTGTACTTCTTTTCAGTCCATCTTCACATGACGTGCTAAATGTTGCTTCGTCTACGCGTCACACCGTTGTTTATCCCAGGAACAGGGATCGACGCTTCTCTAACCGCCAAAATTTCCACCGGGAACGAGCCTGTCCGTGTGCGCGGATACTAAAAAATATTAAAACTAAAACTAATAGTTAAGCTAATGCTGGGATTTATTCCAGCACATTAACCGCCAGGTCTCCTTGCAGATTCTGACCAGAAACTGGCGCACAGAACTGGGTTTGAACCCGCACCTCTCTGCTCCAATCTTGGTACTCTAAACTTTTACCACTGTGCCATCTTCTGTAAGCACATCACATTCAACACTTCGACAGCGCTGGCCCATGATTCAACCCTGGACAGCAGCAGTACGACCCCCAGCTGGACATAAAATCATATAACTGCAGACACGGCACGACCATGCCAAAAGTACTACCAAAATCAATCCTACGGCCAGGCCGATCGTTAAACATCTTTAAAAGTGACGAGACGACAGCTATGAAGATGGAACGACGGCGAGTGATGGCTGCAGTCGCTCCCGGACGGCCGAGATAAATTCCGTGGTACGCAAAATAAATCGCTTGTGATACTCATAGTCGGGTAAGGCAGTCTTAGTGTCGTACCACTTTACAGAATTGCACGACGGAACAGCGTTTTCCTATAAAGTTTTTAAGGATTATTATGAATCAGAGGCACTTTATATCAAAGCGTATGATTAACTTCGTTAGTTAATAATAAAGTAAAGAATAATAAAGATGCAAGTTCTTAAGGTGTAAATGTCGAGTTCTATATCTATTAAGATGTCCTTTCTTCTGTAACTGTCATTTTTTGATTGCGACTGGGGAAAAAATAACGGCGGTGACGTCAAAGGAGGAGCGTAATGCGCCGTCAGAAAGAAACAATTAATGCGCGTAAAGGAAGCCCTGCGCGGTGAGGAGGGAGGGCGAGCTGCCTGCTGACGTCTCACCACAACGAACGCGGTGTGCAGAAAATGAGGGAATTCTCTGAGATTGGACCGAACAGAATGTTTGAATGTCCTACATAATACGTGGTATATTTTCGACCAAATTTATTACCAGGAAATTAATTAAATTAACGCCAGAATACTTCTATATGAATATTTAGTGAATTAGCTGAGATGACAAATAAATCCACGAAATCATCACCACTGTTATTTTTTTCAGGACAGCGACCTATTTGTACGAGTATTTAGAAGTAACAATTTGCGAAACACAATCTGTTGTGTACCGACTTCATTCGAGAATTAATTTGTATGTAAGAAATCAATGAAGGAAAATAATGGCACTGAAGATACCTTACCAACGTATAAACCTACGTATTTGTTGCATCACTGACCGGTCGATATGTCGTGGATGTGGCAACGCCGCTGCCATGTCACGTTGCCTGGAACGTGCACAAGCGTGTCTCAGGTTCAGGCGCAACATCAAGCAGCGTTCATCTCGTGATTGCATTGATTGCATGGGTCTTATTTCTATTACTGTGGACACCCATAACATCTAACTCAGATTCGCGTTGAGTTAATTTCTTTCATATTCTATTCAGTATTCTTCTTGAATTACCACCTTTAAAGAATAATGCGAATTTTATTTACAGTACCTATTTTTTTCAATCTTGTTCAAATATTCACGATGCACTCCTTGAGTTCCTCCTTTATTCACCTTGAGTTAACATAATTTAAATGTCATTCTGAATTTACATTGAATTCCCATATTTTAAATCGCATCCATTATTCACCCTGACTTGACCTCCGGTCATCTCATTATTTATTCACGTCGAGTTAATATTATTTGCATTTCATTTAGGAATATTCAGCTCTGCAGCTCAGGATTGGCCGTAATCTTGATCTTGCTAGTACGCACGACAACAACAGGCGGAACTGTTAAGAACTGTTATTGAAAAATCGGTTGTTAATTTTATTTTATCTATTACTTTTTCAGATAACCCGTCGGTCTTGTTTGTCGTGGATAGAGAAATTTTAGGCTGGTGCATTTAAAATTACATGGATTACTTATGAACTTGAGTTCAGACTTTATAATTGATAGCAGGTCAGTCTATAGTTGGCAAGTGGGGCAACCTGCATGACTTCATCGAGGTCGTTGCATAGATTTGCGTGTCAATTATTCTTCATCATTATTTTTTCAAATGTATATTCATGGATCAGTATTATACTCGTATCATATAACGCCTTCTTCAAGAGGTGGGAATTCTTTGAATAATAAATTTTCTGTACAGAATTGAAATGGATTACCAGTAAAGTCGATGTCACTAACATGAGAAAGATGTACCAGTCGAAGAGTTATGAAGTATTGGTCCTGTCACTATTTTAAAATTAACTCGGCCATAAATAGAGTTATTGCCGCTAGTTGTTGTTAGGTGACTCATAGTTACGTATAGACTTATAGTTAAGGTTTATTTTTTATAGTTAGGCCATCATGGGTTTTAGTTAATATGGTAATTTTAATCAGCAAAAATGTACTATAGCTACCGACTGGTTTTTATTTAGGGCCAATGTCATACAATGAAATGTCATTTTTAGGGCCAATGTCATACAATGAAAGCTTTTTTTCACAGATTTGAGTGCTTTATATATCCTGTATTATTATTGTCTTCATTACGTCTTGAAAATCGTGCCCCAATTTTACGTCTTATCTAACTTGCGTTTTGAGGTACAATATTTTGTCTCAATGAGTGAGAGGAACGAGCTCCCGCCTATGGCAACTTCAAGTGAAGAGCCTCAGGCGCCGCCAACGACACAGGCAGCAGTTTCCCGCGGGCCGCGCCAGCGACAGGACAGTTTGGACGTCGTCTTGAGCAGATCCATGGTAGCTGAGCGGGTAATGCCGGCTAGGTTTTCGTCAAATTACCACGCCATGCAGTCCATGCCGATGGTAGCAAACAAAATTCTTACCGGAACAATGATAATGACTGACCCAAATGCAATGACCCACATGACGATGTTTGGGGACTACAAACTGCCAGGGAAATCTCTCATCCCGCCGAGCATGATGCAGGTTAGATCGATGTATGCAGACATCAAGAGTATACAAGGACGAGGCAGTCTTGACGATCAGATGTACACAATGCAACCCATGGTAACCGATGGCTTAGTTTTACCTGGAGGAATGCTTACACACCCGTTAATGACTTCTAAATCTTCTATGGTCAAGGATGACATGATGACGGGTATAACTATGATCAGTGGTAAGCCGCTCTCTGGCAGAGTGATGGTGGGGAATGCACGCGCGGTCACCACCCGCGCGGCCACAACAGACAAGACCAGCCCTACCAAAACACCCAACTGCGACCGTGTCCTACAAAACCGTCCGCCCGAGGATCGAACGATTCCGTGTCCGAAAATAATCGGACCCTCCGTTGCATCAAAGCCCCATGGCATGGGAGATAAGCATCCACTTTCAAAACTTCGTCAAATTGATAGAATGACCGCTTCCAGATATGCCAGCGAGCAGTCCCAAGGTCCTTCATCGGATAAAAAGATTCCTGACAATCACAAGACTCAATTTAAAAGCTTCCCTGAAAACAGCTCTCGAAATCTCAAAGAAGAATTTGTAGTAAACACTAATGATTCATTGGGAAAAAATATCCAGTCTGCCGAACGCGAATCAGAATTCGTCTTCGGTAGAAATCCGAAGTTTGGCAGCGAAGATTTCGGAACTTCTACAGTCGACTCAATGGCACTAGATCGGACCAAATCCCCAGGCCAAAACTCTTCTTTTGGCCTCAAGATGTCGCCGAATAAAACAGTATCCCCAGTGATGAGATCCACCCATCGTACCATATTGGGAGACAATAACTTGGCACAACCTGAGTGCAGTGGGTCTAGCGGTCCAAGCATGTCTTCAGAGAAAAATAGTTCGACCATCAAAGTTCGTTCGGGGAAGCACATTGTTCATTGGTTCCGTCGAGGCCTTAGGCTACACGACAATCCCGCTCTCAGAGACTCTATATTCAATTGTGAAACATTTCGCTGTATATATATTCTCGACCCGTGGTTTGCTGGCTCCTCTAATGTGGGAGTCAATAAGTGGAGGTGAGTTGATTTGATTCGATAGAAAATTTTGAGCAATCTCATATATTACTCTATGAATATGATTAGAAATATAAATTACACGATGAATATGATTAGAAACGACGAATATGTAATAACTGTTGCCCTTAATTATTTCAAACAATTATTTTTTAAGAATTAGCGATCAGTAAATGAACTGGAAGCAACAAATTTTACAATCAGAACAAAAGTCATGAGTGTTCCTTGAATTTTTGTTTTTGTATAGGCAAGTTTTCGTATGAGAGTATCGGCAATACTTCAAACTCAGAAGGAGTAACATTACTACAATGTAACGGAAGAAAATTCCGGAAAATAATTCGAATTTATTGTGTCACAATGTTCGTGGTCCATTTGAGTGCATACCAAAAAATATTGCCTCTATTCAATAACGGTGGTGATCTTAAGCAGTATCGTGATATATGGTAATAATTTTAAACCAGATCAGCCGCTAAACTTTTTTTTTAATTTTTTTTTCTTTTTCTCTCTTCTTCTTCTTGCCACACATTTCCTACGACACACAGCAATCCCCCAATTGTGGCCTTTTCCTGTGTGTATCATTAGTGTTTAAAACAATCTTACATTAGTTTTACCTAGCCAAAAAACCCTAACATAACCTAACCGAACTGAACACAGCCTGACATATCCTAACCTGTCCTAACCTAGTCTTACCTCACTTAACCTTACTTCACCTAACCTTACCTTGCCTAACCTTACCTANCAATTTTCATGAGATTCTAACGTTTGAGCTCCTGGGAAAAACGGCTCGAGTGAAAACTTTGACCTCAAACCCCCCTGTACGTGATTATACAGCAGCAGCATATCAAAAGTGGAGAGTATAAGTTTAGCGTCCGCTTCGCTGGCTGTAGGCACACAGAAAGTGAGCCGCTCCTGCCGAATCAAAAGTGGAGAGTATAAGTTTAGCGTCCGCTTCGCTGGCTGTAGGCACACAGAAAGTGAGCCGCTCCTGCCGAACAAGAAGATAATATGCAAAGTAAAAATTAAGGGTAAAACCAGTCATCGGAACATTAATAATGCTGAATCCAGTTCTCTGATATTATTTTAATTAATAAAGAATATAACATTAATATTGTCGGCTCGCGAGAGTCAGACAGGAACCATTTATTCTATACCTTCTACTGCCCTTTTGTCATCATGTGATTTGTTTGGGCGCCAGGTTCCTCCTTCAGTGTTTGGAAGATGTCGACAACTCCTTGCGTAATCTCAACTCCCGTTTGTTTGTGGTACGAGGGCAGCCTGCCAACGTACTGCCTCAACTTTTTAAGGTGAGAGCTCTATTTAACCTTCTCAATCAATTTTATAGCAATAGGCCATTCTAATACGAAAAATTTCTCATTGCAGTTACCATAACACTTTATGAAATTAGGCAATTTGTCACGTTCAGGCTTGAAACTGAAGTTCCAATGTTCCTCTATGTTTTGTTCGTAAATTTCAGGAATGGAACACGACTGTGCTGAGCTTCGAGGAAGATCCTGAGCCCTTCGGCCGTGCGCGGGATGCCAGCATCATCGGCATCGCCAGGGAGATGGGAATCGAGGTTGTCGTACGCACATCCCATACGCTCTACAAGCTGGACGAGTGAGACTTGAGTCGTCAGTTCGATAGACGTGATTTGCATGATATTTTTAGAATCGTTTTGCAAGGTTTAATACTTTATTTACGCTTGAAGTAACTTCTTTAATTATATTTGTTATTTTAGGCCTTGCACCTAGAGTTACCGTCAGTATATAGGATAAGAGTACAACAGCAAATACTGGTCTTGGTTGATCGATACGATACAAGTTATTCGTTATCTCCGATTCTGGATAAGTTGTCCACAGGAAAATCGACTTTACCTAGAAGGTTGACTGTGCTGCTGCACAGTGAGCAACAGCCAATACAAGTTTTTTTTAGCTGAACTGAAATTATTTACCCGATGCATCCAGCCGCTGCGAATCAAGTAGTGAAAACGTAATACCGATTCAACAATCAAAATTTAATCATTTTTTTACATTTATGGCACAAATCGTGCACTAATTGACAATTATTTATACTTTTACTATAAAATTTATATTACATAACTAACTTTCGCTCAGAATAATCGAGAAGAAGGGAGGGAAGCCGCCTCTGACGTACAAGACGTTCCAAAACATCCTGGCTATGATGGACCCTCCGCCTGCTCCTGTGCCACCTATCGTGGCGGGTGATCTGCAGCACGCGTTCACACCCATCCAGCCCGACCACGATGACAAGTATGGCGTGCCCAACCTCGAACATCTTGGTGAGGCTCAACAAACACCTACATCATTTTATGCTTCCCTAATTTCTTGTCTTTATTAATGACTTCCTCCCGTTCTAAGATTTTTTTTGTTGTCTTAATTCATAACTTGTACAAGTAATGAATAAAGGAGGCTAGCTTGGACAAATCAAATGCAGTGTTATTTCTATTTTTAATGAAACACCATTAAATCGAAATTCTGCCGCGGATACACCATGCCTGACACATCGAGCAACAGTCGAAAGGTTCCAGTATTTTCTTTCAACTCATTTTCATGTCATCATTGATCATCGATCTTGATTGCTGAGTGTTTCCCTTGCTGGTAACTTTTAATCGCAGTTTGAGAATAGATAAATATAATAGGCATGCAAGCTTTTTGAGCTTGAGCGACTCGAGCATGAAGCACAGACTTACTATGGCTTATAATTAGGATAGGGACCCATGAGACGCATGCTTAGGTTTTAAACTTTATTCGTTTATTTTATTGAATGATACGCTGAATGTTCATTCTGTTCTGTTCGAACTTTCGAAACGTTCTGTTCGGACTTTTCGGCTGTTGAGCGATATTTTTCATGGATAGATTCAAGGGAGCATAATTTCAGAAACCTTCGGTATCAAAATTAATCAGATTTTGGATGCAGGCTTTGAAACGGAACAGCTCCCGCCGACTGCGTGGAAGGGCGGTGAGACGGAGGCACTTCAGCGTCTCAAACACCACCTGGAGCGGAAGGCTTGGGTGGCCTCCTTCGGCCGTCCCAAGATGACGCCGCAGTCGCTCTTCGCCTGCCCTACAGGACTCTCCCCTTACCTTCGCTTTGGCTGCCTCTCAGCTCGAAAATTTTACACTGAACTCAATGAACTTTACACTAAGGTATATACGTACATGACCACTATTAATTGAGAAATAAATTGTACAAAAATCTTTTTAGTCACGTATCAACTTTCCACTCACTCGAAACATTTTTATCCACAGCCCGGTCAATTTTTAAACCCATTTCACGAGTAAATAGTACGAGTAATTAGCTTTTCAGTTGCGAAATGATTAGTAGAGTGATATACCTATGAAAGTGTTAAAAATTATATTAAACACTTCTAAACCAATGCATCTTCACCACTACATTTATAGCGCAGTAGAAGCATTGCACTAAGGGACCTCAAGAAATTGAGTGCAATAAAAATCTACACGGTAAACAATTTGCTCGTTTCAACATCGTAGCTTAATACTTAATACAGGTAGCGACTGAATGCCTATTGAGTTAAGAGGGATATTGAAAAAAATTAATTAATTTGGATATTTTTTCCCCCAGATCAAAAAAGTACCTGCACCAGTTTCGCTTCACGGCCACCTACTTTGGCGGGAGTTTTTCTACACGGCTGCCACGAACAACCCAAAATTCGATCACATGAAAGGCAATCCAATCTGCGTCCAGATACCGTGGGACAAGAATCCTGAGGCCCTGGCGAAATGGGCTCATGTGAGTCAATAATTTATGTATATTGAACTTTATTTTACTCTTGTCGAAATATACTTAACTGAATCTAGATTTTAATTAAAGAGAAAGTGGGTTCAAAATAAATGAGTAAGCGAATATTAACTAATTACAGTGCTAATAATATTATTAGCACAGAATAGGTGCCAGACATCAGAGTATTTTTTATGTTCGGAGCCAGCGTATTAATTGTTTCTTGATCAATTTCTGTATAAAAGTATACATCTCTGATATTTTTAGGGCCAAACTGGCTTTCCGTGGATCGACGCGATCATGACTCAGCTGCGCGCGGAGGGTTGGATCCACAACGTGGCACGGCACGCGGTCGCCTGCTTCCTGACGAGGGGCGACCTCTGGGTGTCGTGGGAGGAGGGCATGAAGGTACTGGCCGGCGCAAATCTGTTTTTTAGCGCATTTTCTCATTTATGGAAAAATGCACTATTGTGCTCGCCATGTCCGTCTATCCGTCCGTCCGTCTGTCTGTCCGTCCGTGACTTCACGTTTTCGTTGACGAGAAAATGCGCTCTCTGTCACTCACTGCAGTGAGTACTGAGTTATATTTTTTTAAGTTTATTTTAAGAGTCAGGTGATGAAATTCATTTTCTACTGATGATTATTACCATGTGACACGATTTTAGATCTTCTGTGAACAAGTCACGAAAAATTCAAAAATCGGTGACAGGCCACATCAGGGCCTATACTTTCAAAGAAGTTAAGAGATCGTAAGCTCATTCGCCAATCATTGACGGCCTTTCGAGCTAAATCCACCAATCATAGACAAGAAAATAGAGCGTAGGTACTTACGTTCACTTGACGAGTTATGAAAATATGGCCCCTAGCCTACTCTTTAGCGCCGACATCACTATGTTATGTTATGTTATGTCTGGGGGTCGAAAAACTTTATTACACGTAGTTTTGTACGGCGAATATGCCTCATTATATACCGTATTGAAAAATTTTCCAAGAAGAAGATTAAGAGGACAATGTTTTATCAGGAGATGGTAGCCCTGTTTTTAATTCTTGTGAATCGTGGTTTATAACATAGATGTTCGATAACATACTCACTTACCGATGAAACGATCCTTGCTAAAATTCAGAAAAGAGTAATTAATTTATTTACGTAATTATTACGTAATTTACGTAATGATCAGATATTAATAAAAATAACAGATATTTTTGCGCATATAATGTGCACTGTCTATGGAGCAAACTTCGGTCATCGGAACTGACTGTAGGAGTAAGAATTATTTTCTCTATGGAAATCCATTTTGAGCTCAGCCCATGTGCTGTTTTTGGTTGGATTATTCTCTATTCATTTATCGAACACATGTAACTTCGGAAGAACATGATGCCTTTAAGAACTCGCATGTACTCATTATGATTGTTTACTATCCTTTCGAGGACACTAAAAAACTATTCACTTAAATGATACATAAAATTGTGAGCATTGTTTTTCCACCTAATTTGATCCGTGGTTCAAACTAAAATGATCCGAATTTTCTTGTATCACTCTTATGTTTTCATAATTACTTAATCTTGATCAAACAATAGTTTACTTAATTAGATTTCAAATATAAATTTGGAATAACAATAATTTTGATGTGGGGAATCCTCTCTTGTACTTGAATCCATTGATCTTCTGGCAACACATTCCGAGACTTTATAGAAATGAGCGCATCGTTGAAATAAACATTTTTCAAAATATTTCAATTACTAGAAACATTCGACCCTTCTTAGAGCGAGCTAATGCAAATAATTTCATCCCATACTAAAAATAATGGAAATTAATGGTGATTGAAAAATAATTTTTTTATAAGTCAATACATCTCTTGTTTTCGTTGTTTTTCACCAGCAGAGCTCCCGTGGTGTAGTGACGTAAATCACGCTGACGCCGGCGACAAAAAGAGAGCTTTTTCAACTCATTACTTCATCAAATTATCAACATTGAATTAGAATAAAGACCAAATTACGCAGTGGTTGAATTTGCATTTCTACTCACAGGTATTTGACGAGTTGCTTCTGGACGCCGATTGGTCAGTGAATGCGGGATCGTGGATGTGGCTGTCGTGCTCCTCCTTCTTCCAGCAGTTCTTCCACTGCTACTGCCCTGTGCGCTACGGCAGGAAGGCTGATCCCAACGGCGACTTTATACGGTTAGTGGACTGTCCCGACCATAAATATTGCAAAGTCCGCCGTCAGTCATGCATTGCACAGTCCGTCATCAGTCATGCATTGCACAGTCGATCGCCAGTAATGACCATAGACATGGCGCAGTCAGTTGTCCGTCACGATCGTAATCATTGCACAGTCTATCGTCAGTTAAAACAATAGACATTGCGCAGTTGGTCTCCAGTCGACCATCACTATCACGACTTGTCAAATTCAATGATGAAAGACGACGATTAACTTACTTACTCACGGATGGTCACGACTTGATAAATTTCGTACTGCAGCAAGTTTATTGGGTATAAATAGGAGTGCATTGGCTATAAGGATTTAATACGCGGAATATTAAATCTTGAGACCCCAGGAATGGATTCTTTTACACCGGTCGAGCGGTAGCACCTCATCCGAAAAATAGCTGTCTTATAATAACGATATACTCATTCCTCAATTGTACAACCTCGATCCGACACATATGCTGCTACCATTGCTATCTCATAATGCCAGATAAACTTGCTATCAGGCTAAAAAATGAATGGAAAATGGTGAAAAAAAACTTGTCGAAAGTGCTAGTGAAGACTTACAAATTTTTTGGCTAGCAGAACCTACTTGCCGGTTCTTAAGAACTTCCCGACGAAGTACATCCACGAGCCATGGATGGCGCCGGAGAGCGTGCAGAGCAGCGCGCGCTGCATCATCGGACAGCACTACCCGCTGCCGATGGTCGACCACGCCACGCAGTCCCAGACAAACATCGAGCGCATGAAGCAAGTCTACCGCCAGCTCGCCCACTACCGAGCCACCAGTACGTTACCAACATGAATCTTATTTTTTACTTCCATGTTATACGCATGAATAACGCTGCCCGAGTTTAGTTTTTAACTGATAATTTGTTCGCCCGCTACCGAGCCAGCAGTACGTTACTAATATGAATCTCATTTCTTACTTCCATGTTATAATATCGCTGCCCGAGTTTAATTTTTAAGTGAAAGTTTTCTGTATGATGTTCGTTGTTTGTGAATATGATTTATTTACATATATAATTTGAACTACTGTATATTATATTTATGAATATACCTGAGTATGATTAAATTGTGTAATCTCTCCATAAACATTCATAACATATTAGATTGGTTGAATTTAATAAATCGTACGTAATTATGAGCACAAGCACAGATCATAGTTGAAGGACGATCTTGAATTCAGCATTCGTTGTAAAATGAGTAGCTGTTTGAAACCAAAATGCGCGCGTCAACCACTTGAAGTATTCATACGATAAATAAATATGAAAACTGATGTGAAGCAGCTGTTCACTTATATTAAATCTGTTACAGTGTCATCAAGGTCCGGTGGAGATTCGAAATCACGCTGCAAGCATCAACAGACTTCAGCTCCCAACAGGAGCCTCTGCAGCAATCGCGTTCTTACAACTGTTTAAATAGTAACAGGACTTTAATTAAGTTAGGATTGGGTTAACAACAATCAGCGGTTCCAGAGCATCGGTAACATGGAAAGATTTCATATGCTTGTATTAAGCTACTCTGGAACACTCATCATTCAATTCTGAAACAAGAATTTTTTCACACTATCTGATTACTGGAAACAAAAATGGGAGATGTGGTTAAATAAAACTAGATTTTTTTCGATTGGATTATCCATTAAAAGTGGGTATGGCGTTTTTTGATGTACGGAAATTTGTCCTGTTAGTCCACAGTCAAGAATAACTCTGAAATGTGGTGATTAATTACTTTAATTATGAGTTGAGTCGCTCGGGGGGCTGTTGTATTGCTTTCTCCCTCTGTTGTATTTCACCTCAATTTGTGGGCGATTTATTTTCCCGTACAGCAAGAAGGATGAAGATTCCTGTAGGAATGAAACCATCTAATGTGACCTTAACTATGAGATAGAATGTTTTAGGAAATTAAAATTTGTGCAAATACCAAATTTACCGGATTAACTTTTGTAAAATAATAATGCCAGAATGTTTGTCGCAGTATCAACGGCTTACCTGAAATTAATTGGACGTTTAAACATCAGGCTTCTTAGAATATAAAGAATGTTATTTAAGCGCTCCAGTGGAGCTGAAATGTTAGATGATAAATTCAATAAAACCCTTTACTTCTGCCGTGTCTGTGTCGTTACCTGCTGGAGGTTGTAGCGAGGGCTTCTTGGCAGTCATCGTGGGTCTGGTAGAGGCCAACATACCGCCTGCCCCAGAGAGCGACTTGATATTATAAGATAACTTGTCAAACATCGGAAAACCTTTGATTATATTAGGACGGAAATGAAATAACTATACTAAGCAACCATATTGTATTAGCAGAGAGGTTTTTATATTGAAAACAGTGTTATCAATAAAATTCAAAGAAGAAAAATTCAAGTAAATAGCGTGAAGAAGAGACGTTTATTGCGGAATATATTATATATAGTAATGAATGTGAAGCACTTAACTTCCATACGACATGATGCATGGTAGCTCTCAACTTGAGGACTTGCCCGGTCAGTGGTCAGTGGCTGAAAATTTTGTAGCGCAGCTTGTTAATTTTCAATCGCATCGTTAAGTGTCCATTTTTTTAGAACAAACACCATGCGGACTAAGTGTGTGTTATCGCTTGATGCTTCCTGGTATGTATATGCCAGATATATCCTTAAAGTTGTCGTATATGTTAAACCCCGATGAGGCATTACATGGGGGTATTTCTTCTGTGTGTTATTTCAGTTCAAGTTGCAATTATTGTACCGCAACTCTCGAACTGTGTTCATACAGAACATTTTTTCCAAGTCTGTGGAACGTGTTAGATATATTTTTTGGTGCTACAACCGTTCGTGATTGGGTAAAATCGACACACGTTTTTACGTGTGAAATTATCTGTTATATAACTACAAATAACAACAATATAATATTATAATATTATATTGTTGTAAAATATTGTTGCCATGAGCCGATATACAATATATTTGGTATTTATAATTAAACGAAAAGGAATTTTGCAAGTGACCTAAAAAGAAAATAATTGACCATAATAAATTAGACAAAGAGATGTTACTTAGGCAGTGGACGGGTTTCGTCAATTGTCGACTTGCCCGGGAACGCGATTCGAAGTGTCCTGCAGCGCTGCACTTGAGAGACAAGTTTACTATATAATCTAGGATACACTAACTGTCGTTCATGTTATTCATGTCTTAATGTCTTATAATAACACCTTTAGTCAGAGCTATTATAGATATATTATTATATTATTTAAGAGCTATTACCACAAGAATCAATTAAATATTTCTATCTTTGAATGGGTTTCAAAAACAGCCTAATCATAGCTTTAAACATTATTTCTACGATAACTGGAAATGAATGTGTAAACAAAGAATTTGCAAGTTAAAACATTTGACAATCATGACGAGACGGGACAATCAAGATCATGTGCTATTTGTAGATATAAAATAAGAGATCGATAACCTATCCTCGATCGATTTCTATCTTGTTTCCAATATAAACGCCATGACAGAATATTTGTTGTTAGATTTTAGAAGCAAATTTCAAATCATTACTTCGATTTACAGCTGAAGTTTATGTCTAGAATTAAGCTATAGTATATATCATAGTAATTGTAATGTCTATAGTTCGAATAATCTTAACCATGTACGAGTAAAGATTTTATTAGTTGAAAAATAAACTTCAAAGTTATTTTCATGGCATTTCGAAGGTGATCAAAATGTCTACCTTCAAACGCATGGCTTTAGTCTAAGCAGAGTTCAAATTCATCCCATCTTCAGAAGGGACTGGACCTATTCAACTGTTGAAGTTATGCGATCTATCAGATCATCCAATATTGTTGGTACTGTGAAAGCACATCAACGAAAACGTTGATAAATCACAAGAAAAAGGTTACCTGCAGTACATTCTGGTGATCGCTGATGACAGAAACGTATAGATGCATAATTTTTTCGGTACGAAAGATCTACCGATCACGTATTCATAGATTAAAAATATTTTTACAGACCGCCCGAACTACAATTAAGGTTACACGATTCCTTAGCGAAGAACGTATAAATTTTGAGAGTTTCTTCTTCCCAAAAGTACGTTTTTGATGCATTCAGCTCTTATAACATTACAGTAATAGTTTTATGATCAGATTGTAATAGTAATAGTTTTATGAAGTCAGATTATATTATCAGCTTATACCTGTTACGTATAATAAATTACGATCATAACTTCATATTTATTCAATACAATGGCTTAGCCGTATGAAACAAATGGTCTCAACGCTCGAATGGAGTGCATATCGTAACTCTCTTCATAGAATTTCCAATATGCAAATATAATTCATTACTCTGATTGTATACCATCCAATGAATAGGTAAAATATAACATTATTTTCTAAAGCACTTGGATATCGGGGACAACATAAACACCGAGGATACTTGTTGCTTAAGTATGGCCATAAAGATACTTTATATCGTTTGAATCTGCTAAAATTTAGAATTTTGGGCCTCTCTTCATCTGAATCGTGAACAATTTTGTATAAAATGAGTGCCAGTTTTCTTTCATATAGTCAATAACAATTAGTGACATTGAATAGCTAAGGCGAGAAATTATAATTGCAACCAACAAGGCAATTGCATGTTATTTTCAGTGCAAAGTCGGATCGCTTGAACATGTTTCGTCCCATATCTGTGCTAGTATAATACTCGTATCAAGAGGGGTGTTCTCCCTGTGGAGGTAAAAAAAACTTAGTTAACAAACGATAATCTGTTGCATACAATACAGAGCATGGATTACTCATCAGGTAATCAATTAAGACTTGCTTGCATTCCACTTTATTTCCAAAAAATAATATCGTCTTTATTTCATCAAATCGGAATATATGAAGATATAATTTCTATCTATTTAATGAGACGACATTGCCATTTTGTACAGTCCAGGTGCATAAAGTTAAGAAGCTATCATTTTTGTATTATCTAAAACTAAATTTTGGTCTAAAATAAGTGAAATAATTGGCTTTTAAATAAGGTTTAAACACGAATATTTTAGAACAGTGTGAATATATGCCTACGTACCGTACCGTATTTTCCTTCCTTTAACGGGTTCTCAAATGGACGATTCTTAAAATGAAATTTTTTGTGTTATGCTATTTTTAGCCATTTATATTGAATAGTAATGATTGTTTTACTAACTAATGACATTCAATAAACTACGTGTTTATCAACTTTACATGTTCACTGTCAGCCGCTCGCTCCACCCTTGCTAAGATTTAGATTTATATTGTACTTATTAAGCGTATATCTTGCTATCAGTAAATTTGCATGTTGCGGTAGATCATCATCTGTTGTACAATTATATTCGTTTCAATATGTCTTGCTATATATCAATAACCTTGCATGTTGCGATAGAAATAGATCATTATTTGTTGGATAATTATATTCGTTTCAATATATCTTGCTATCAATAATCTTGCAGGTTGCGATAGATCATTATCTTTTGTATAATTATATTCGTTACTATAAACATAATACATGCAATCAGCAAATTCTTCTGAACTAACAGCGATGGCTTTTTAACACGTTTTCTTAGCTTAGCTTCGCGTTTGTTTGTTTGTTTGTTTGTTTGTTGTTAACATTGACACGACACACGTTTTTTGGGGCGAGCCACAATTTATTTTCTACTTTTTAGTCCACAAGAAAAACGTGTTTTTTTAAAAAGTTTTTTTAAGTATTTTTTCATTTTGCTTATGAGTCACTGACAGCCTTTGACTTAAATTTAAACCGCCGTCTGGACTAAAGTAATACCATTTAAAGTTTTTCTTTGTATTTCTATCCACAGATAATTTAATATTCATTTAAATACTCTGAATATCTCACATATGAATTTTTCCTTTGCAACCATTGACATAATTTAAAATAATATAAAGACATAAAGAACTTACTCCAATTTTAATTTAAATGTTGCCCAAATGTGTGTTAGAATAATGAATATCCCGCTTCAATAAAGCTTCTTCTATTCATTGTATTGATTTAACCATATAATCACGTTGAGTTAATTTTCTTTTGAAATTTCCGTGTCGAAGGAAACACTGCAAAGGTTGATTCTTCCGTGTATAGACGTGGTTGATTCTTCCTTTCAAAACACGTCTTCTGTGTAGAGTAGACGATTCGAATTAGGATCGATTACTATAACAGACTATTTTATCCCTGTTATATGGAAAAGATGTATTTCAGTAATAAAAATAACAGTCACTATTTGATATTAAAAACATCCAAAAAGTTTTCAAAAAATTTACCACAAATAATGTAAATTAATTATCCAGCACTTAGAGTCAATGTCAATTAATTATCTATTACTCCTAAGGGATTGCTGAAATAAGTTAATTATGAGCGACTGCGACTTATAGACGTCATTAAGTGTTGTTCTCCTGTGAGGACGCCTGAGAGTCTAACACGGAAAATCGTGAGCACATGCGTATAAATGTTCTGATTTAAAGTTAATTTATTTCTGATATTTGCTAAACTTTGTCCTGAAAAGCAGAATTTTAACGTATAGTACCTGTAAGGTTGTAAATTGAATTCTAGAAGGCATCAGTTGGAAACACTCGACAAGAGTGATAGACCGGACCTTAGACTAGTCGTTACCCAGCAGTAGGGTTGCTGCTGATCTCGTGTGGACTGGACTCAAGGTGACGCTCTCCAAGCTTGTCCTTAGAGCTTTGCGTGCTTAACGATCACCACGGGGACCGACTCTTTCCTTGAGGATCGGAGAAGCCCTGCAGACTACCTTGTTTTAGGAATTCACAGATGTTCCCTGTTGAATCTGTAGATTGAGCAGCTAAGGTGTCAGATTTATTAATGTATGGCGTTATCCCTTGATGTAAACTTTGATTCGTGTTTTGTTCTATTAAATTGTTGGTGTTCCTAAATGTTTATAGTATCCGAGTCAGCGAAACGAACCCCGATGAAGTATACAGACTTCATTACAGTACCAATGAGTCGAACGCGGAATAAGAAAACGAGCGTTGCAGGCCGTTAACAATGGCGTTATGAAAAAACAACGGGTCGCGGTAACTGCTTTCATTGTAAGAGATGGCGGCAGCTCCAGGAGACTTGACGTGATAGTTGACATCAAGTTGACGTCACTGACGAGAATTAGGGTACCTATTATGTAGTATGCGTGCTCAATAAGGCTGGATCCAAGAGATAAATCAGCTTGGCTACGCACACATTATTCGCGTATTACAATTACTAATGATGCCTCTATTGTTATAGTTTCTATACATTACGAAATCATTATACATGTACTGACCTACTTAATTGCTTATCCAGCTGCCATAAGGGTTTAAGCATCTAAAAGTTACTCCAGTCACTTATACTCTGTAGACTAGACACGTAGCTCTCGTACAGCCCGTTCTAAAGATTATTTTTTAAACCTTGACTTGAGAAATCCTTCTGCCCCTGCTGGTGCGAATCGAAAAACATTAATGCGATGAAATGTTTCTGCGTACAGCTGGATGCAGAACAGCAAAGCACATTTTAGTTTATGTGTTGACACAGTAATTTTAGAGCATCAAACTTAGAATGGCCGTATTATTTTCTGTTGATTTGAGCGAAAAGAACAAACGTAATATTTTTAGAGTGCCTAATCCTAAGAAGTACGCTTGGAGAATTGTACATTTTGATGAAATGTTTTCGTTGAAAATTTCTAGTCATAAGAAAATAAGTGTAGTGTCCGGGAGTAGGATTTGTAGATACAAATCCTCATGTGTTTATCAGCAGACCTATAGTTAGCTACGAGTCCACTGTGTCACTGAGAGCAATTGCCTCAGACGCGGAGTCGACAGCTTATACAGCATACTGTATTTATATATATATGTGCCACGAGGGCAAGAACTCAGTGGGCGGAAGTAGAAGTCTGTAAAAGGGCTGGGTACCTTAGTAAGGCCCCAGTAGTTTACAAGTACGACACCATACAACAGTCCTTAGAGCTACTCCGACCTAACGGTCGAAGTCTAAGCCATGTATCTGCCTTTATCTATAATAACTATCCCGTATAACCACCTAGTCTCAAGATAAGTCCTCTATAGAGAAGTGTTTTATACTTATCCCGCACTCACTTAGTCAAGGAAACCCTGTTCTCAAGTTGATCTATTATTAATTAATAGTCAGGCAGCGCTAATGGTGCCTCCTGACAGTAGATCTGCAGCTCAAAACTATAAATATGGCTAATTAGGAGATAAATGTTGGCAGAGCGCCACCATATAGACATATGACATTTAGAGCGTATACTCATTAAACTATGGTTGACCGTGAAGGAACAGCATTCTGATACACTTGGAGCTGTTATGAACAGGTCCCTATTTTTCCACGTGCTTTAGGGACGAAATTACAAAATTATTTTCCATCGGACCACAACATCGTTGTGCTGGCAGGAATCAACGGCTTCATTAGGTGTTTTTTTAGGGGAGCTCAGTCCACTAGAATAGTCTTCAGCCTCCCTAAATAATTGTATATTCATTTATAAGAATCAATATTATTTTTACCCAAAATCGATTCAATATGGCTTGAATTCAAATAAATAATCATACAACCAGTCATTTCTAATTTAAATATGATCCAAGGACTACTACACACAGGACATGCATAGCCTATGTCCAGCCTCTGCTAGCAGAGGCGATCGCCTACACTATGAAAATGCTGTTGTTTTAGTGGAACTATTGTATGAAACAATTATGGGCATATCATTTGTTGATGCCACTAAAACAACAGCATTTTCATAGTGTAGGCGATCGCCTCTGCTAGCAGAGGCTGGACATAGGCTATGCATGTCCTGTGTGTAGTAGTCCTTGATATGATCTTAATTCTTTGGGGGCTTAGACCCCAACTAAAATCTAGAGACGCCCCGGCAGGAGTAATAAATTCTCTCGTTTGATATATGACGTACATCGATGATGCCTTATATAATGGAAGGCAATTTGCACAATATTACCTTTAGCTGGGTACATATTGTTCAACTGTTTACGTACTATGATAAAATTTCTCGTCTGAAAATTGATCGATGGAAGGTTTCTTTTTTTTTTGTAACGAAATAAGTCCATGTATTAACACGAAAACAATTCTGATTTTTAATGTGGAAATAAAAAATGCACAGTTAAATCAACCTCAACTACTATATTATTATTTATTATATTAATAAATTATTTATTATTATATTATTATTTCAATATTTCCTAATTTCTAAACAGATTCAACTTGTCATGTCATGATCATTTTCAGTCATTCAGTTCTTCAGGAGAAACTGCATCTATACGCACAGAGCCATGCGCTGTTGTCTAGTATATGATGCATATTGTAACATAATGTATCTCAAAAAATATTTAATATATATTTTATATATTAATATATCACATTAAAAATTCTAATGAGTCACGATGTAGCGGCGTAAATTTGACGGCACAGAACAGATAATTCATAACAATTCCTTGCTAATCGTATATGGCTTTTGTTGCTGAAGACAATTAAGTATGGTTGTAATTTATCAACTCTGATTTTCATGACTAGCTATGGAGGGTGAGCTGTCATTTATATATAATCTTATGGAGAAGCTTCGGCAGATTGTTCCAAATTTATTATTTTCATCATTATTGTTTTCTTTTGGGACTACGTTCTATGTATTTTCCCAATTAAAAAATTAGTATTGTAATTTTTTACCGTTGGACCTTATTTTCTTTGATTGCAAATTATTTTTTTTAATAGTGAGTACGGGTGCTTATACATATTGTTGCTAGACATAAACAATTACTTATTATACAGTACTGCAGATTTTATTTCTTGACCGCAAATTTAACATTTAGATGTCTTTTACTAGGTCAAGTAATAACAAGTCTTCATTCGTTCAATTAGTATTTTATTCGTTGCACTTTTGTCGATGATAGTAAATAGCAACAGCTGTTTAATCTAGATATATTGTAAAATTCAAACACGCATTAAAGTCTTACTAATTTCGAACGATATTCTAGATAAAAGTAATTCTCCAAGCTAAATTGATTCTTTATGAAAAAATGAATTTAAATTTATATTTTTTCCCTGTGTTGGCTGACGACACCAATCCAACCCGATGGCTCATGCTGTTTAAAAGCAGCACCGTTCCGTTTTACAAGCATCTATTATATTATTAAATTAACGGTCTGTTCTATAAGTATCTACTCTATTATAAATTATTGGTCCGATAAATAAGTATCTATTATATCATCAAAATAACGGTCTGTTCTATAAGTATCTACTATATTATAAATTATTGGCCCGGTAATAAGTTAACGGTCCGTTCTTTAAGTATCTGGAATGAATGGAATTAGATCGCATGCACAGCTTTCGCAACTGACAATTGAGACAATTGATTATTAAATATCGAAAAATAATTTAGCTAAGACATTTATTTATCGAAGCCATATAACACAGCATTGATGTTGTGTTATATTGCAAGTCAATGTATACACTTTCTATGACTGATGATTGCTCATAAAGGATTTCATCAATTTACAGCGCAATTGAGAGTTTTTGCGTAATATATTATTTAAGATGAAATTATTCTCTAGAATTTTCGGTAATACAAATTATGTCACGAGAGTCGGTATTTAAATTCTCTCAATGATAATGATAGATTGCGTTTCTCATGAATCAAGGTAAATTATTTTCAGATATCGACGGTAAAAATAATGATTGGTAGAAATCTCTGCTTCAAAAATTTCCTTATCGATTCGATCTATTTATACTATATACATTAAAAAAATTTCGGTTATCGAAAAATTTTGTAAATAAACCACTAACACGGTATTATAATTTGGTTTTTTATTTAATATCTTATAATCACTCACTGGGGAGGTCTCTTTTTATCTTCCTTACAACATAGATTAATGGAGAACGTCGTTAGGGATCGATTAACATTAACTGGACTAAATAAAAATTGATCAATGCTGATCAAACTCAGATCATTGAATCGACACAAGCCTTTGGTCAAAACTCATGACTCAATTGTTCGAAAAACGGAAAAATGTATTTAAAATATATAGACAAATCAGCGTACAATTCCGTTAAAATTTGGCTAAATAATGACAGAAAATTCTCGGAATAAGCTCGTAGCTTTTAAATTATTTAAATTTTATCTGTATATACTTCCTGTTCTATCAGAACGCCATCAGCTTGACAGAATACAATAATTATTTGCAGGAATAATTATAAAGAGGATCAATTAATTCTACCTTTAAAAATTTATTTGCAAGGCTTCGTGAGCCTCCGAAAACCGTCGCAGCCTAATTTCATTCAATCAGGCATTACTGAAACATTTAAGAAAACAATTGCGATTGCTTGATGATTGGTCACAAAATTCCGTATACTAATGATGCACGATACCATTGAGCCGTGACCGCACGCTGTTCATCTCTTCAGGCCTAATTTTGTAGCGATCTCTGTCTTTATTGGCCAGGTTGAAGGACTCCCTGTTCGTTGTGGGAGGTTCGATGGAGTCCTTAGGAGGCTGGTTTGGGAAGTGCGGTACTGGCACGCCTTCTTGTAACAATGCAGGTCGTGATCCTGAAGGAGGTTTCTGCTGCTGCTTCGGTGGTCTGGTGATCTGAGGTTTTGTTGGTTGTGGTCGAGGACGCGCCCGAACTCCTTGAAGGAGATTAGGAATTGTTGGTAGCGTCAATGGTCGTCCTTTTTGACCCGTGCTTTGAGGCTTGGCAACCACAGGTCTCAGAGTGTGTCGTGATGGCACAAAATTTGCCCGCGGTGGTGAGGTTCCAGGTGCGGTAAAATGATTAGCGTGTGGCTTTTCTGCAGGCTTACCGACAGCAATGAAAGCTGATAAAGGTTCTGAGGAAAAAGAAGTGTGGGAACTGGCGGAATGTTTCACAGGATGGTTGTGAGGATCGAAGTCGGTGTGGACAGGTTTGCTGAAAGGCTTCAAGTTACTATGCGGCTTACTACCGAATTCGTTCCCGACAGCTATTTTGTTATCGAATTTGGGTATTCGGTGATGAAACTCCGGGTTGGAGTTTTGCAAGGACTTGGGGTACGTGATACCCGATGACGGGGACGCAGCCTTCAAGCCGGGCACCACCGACTGCCCAATGGCGGGCGCTTTGCCTGCAACGAAAGCAAAAATGACTCCACAAAGTACAAGCTTCACGAGTAATCGTGGACTTCTAGGAAAATTACAGCATAGCTCACCAAAGCCAGGCGAGAACGTGATGGTGTCAAGAAACAATACAGAAAACAATCGAACGTCCATCACAAACAATATTGCCTCACCGATGTGGCCTCGGAGAGAGGGGAAGTCAGGATGCTGCTCGAACAGAACGTCTGCAAGGAAGCCCTGGCCGTGCTTGGCCTTATAGGTGACGGTCTGGAGGCGGTGGTCGGGGAGAGCTACTCTGAACCTGCCTTCGGTGAGCGACCCTGAACTCTGCTCGCGACGGTCGTGCCAAGTGCCGTGGTAAGGAGCGTCAACCTCGAACTCGAACGCGTACGGCCGTGCCTGGATAATCATTACGGTTACCTTCTTGCTCACAATCTTTTGTGTTACTAAATAAAATTATTATTATTATTAACCTCGAACTCGAACGCGTACAGCCGTGTCTGAACAAACATTATGGTTACCTTTTTGCTTACAAGCTTTTGTTTTACTAAATAAAATTATTATTATCAACCTCGAACTCGAACGCGTACGGCCGCACCTGATAAATATCTCCAGTTATTTTCTTGCTTACAAGCTTTTGTGTAACTGAATTGAAATATTATTTTCAAATAATTAAGATTACCAAACATTGAAAATTTTAAAAAGTCTTGGCTATGGGTTAGGAATATGTGAAATGTGTGCGAAGTGTAATAGTTATCTATCTTATAACATTCCAATCGCTGAATTTGAGATTTAAATATTTTCATGATCCATTGAGTAAGATTAAAATAAAATACCAAGAATCTGTGATGAGGATTCGACGAGAGATTATCAGCAAACCACTTTAATTATTTAATAAGTCGGTTTTTATTTAGTAAAAAAGATAGGGCGAATAAGACTTTCAGAAGTTCTTGTATGAGAAACTTACGACATTTGAAGCTTATCGATGTAAAAAGTCTCAAATCACGAATTAATGACAATCGCCATACATGAGAAAACGAATAAAACAAATTCCATGTAAAAATCGATAAGGTAAAAAATCAGTATATTGCAATACTCAAAGGGATTTTTGAATGTAAGTAAAAGCCATTAAACAACAAGCTTCAACGATTCAATAAAAAGATTAATTTCAATAAACATGTTATAAACCTAATAAATGCATTCAACTCAGTAAGTTTTTAAATGCAGCAACACGACAGGTTTGTCAGCACCTGCTCGCTGCTATCGTGATACACGCGCGGCTGAGGGCTCCAGACGGGCGTCGTGTCACCGCTTGCCAGCGTCAGCAGCGCCGCTACATTCAACAACATCAACTTCATCATCTGCACATATCAAATATTATTTAATAAGTAAATAGATTTAATCAATATAATTATATCTTATTATTTAATTAATAGATACTCTGAGACGTAAGATGTAACTTGGATTATGAATTTAATGCACATGACATGATTTCAAATTTAGATATATCATTCAAGCACTGGGGGCGTATTATTCATGGTAATTCATGTAACTGGTTATTCTATGGTGTAAGATTTACATGAGTTAAAGACAAGTAATGTTATAAAAACTGAAATATATGACTATTTACTGATTTTAATTTGCGAATTTTAATAATGAATGGATTCATACATTCATAGCTATTAATTGTAGCTTTATTATTAATTATGAATTCTCTCAATTAAACAAATAATCATAAGAAGTCTTCTGCTATTCTAAACTGTTTGAAAAATTCTAGCGAAAACTTTCTGAACGGAGATACAGTGAAATAAATTTTTTTACTTCACTGTATGTCCGTCCAGAAAGTTTTCGCTAGAATTTTTAAAACGTTTTAGAATAACCAGAAGATTTCTTATGATTAGTTGTTTAATTTAGAGAACTCAGAATTAATAATAAAGCAACAATTAATAGCTTTGCATTTATAAATCCATTCATTATTAAAATCCGCTTATTTTTTAATGTATGTATGATATTTTCCACAGAGAGCAACCAACACCATGAAATATGTTTTGTTGGAGTGACAGAAATATTGTCGGTCAAATTATTATAAAATTCGTCCCCAACTGCCCTCGAGCCATGTCTTTTAATCCAATTCTGTCGACAAATAAGAATCAATCTTCCACAAATCAACAAATCTCTGGATTCTCCACATGCTGTATTTCTTTCGCTTCACTCTATAAATCTACGGTCACATTTCATGGGGATTTTTAGTATAGATAATCGAGGGGAAATTATCCGTCCTATCTCCCACGGCTCTCTCCCACGCTCCACGTGAATGTTACTCGTGTTCATTATCCCTGCTGGACGTTAAACGAAAGCGCAAGTATTTTATCTGCGCGGTTGCATGGCAGAGAAAGAAAGCTGCGTCGCCGCAAGGAGAACTAACGAGCTCGCCATGTGGTGCGAGACTGACGCTTTAATTGCACGCACACGTAAGACTTTCAGTACATTAACGCGAGGCGAGACATCAGCCTTGCAGGGATACGTTTTTATATCATTTAACATCTACTCGTGTATTGGTACAATGAGTCATCTGTATGGCCTGGCCACAGAATTTCCTTGTAAAAACTGGCACTCTTATTACGTGAGGATTTATACCACAAAGAATTGATGCATTGTCTTCTACGCCGGTATTTTGTGATGTGATCGTATGCAAAATGTACGTACCAACGATCTGAGATCTTTTACCGATTAGAGTGTTTAATCTTTCCAAAACCGATAAGAACTTATTAAATTATTATTGAATAATAAAAAAGTTGCAGTAATAAAAAAGTGTTAAACCCTTTAGAGCCTGGCGTCACCCTCTTCTTCCGTCATCCTTTTCCTTCCCCGAGATGTATCTGAATTCTAAATTATTTGGAAGTGAAAGTGAAAGCTACTAGAACATAGTCAGACGCTGCACAAATGGTTAAACTGTATCCTGCAGCACATCTGTTGTTCGAAAGCTTTCTTGTGAGAAATTCGACTCATTGCATGCCCAGGGACTAAGGGATTAGCAATAAGCTGATGATTGGCAACTGAATACTTGGTATAATTGATGGTTCTGATGCTGAAAGAGGTTTAGTTAATTCGAGTCGGATTATCCGGCTTATCTCGAAGATATGCTGGTAAGAGTTGTCTATTACTGCTGATGATCGTGAATGAAGGTTAAGATAAAACCAAGAAAACATAGACATACCAACGGCCTGTTTGTTGTATGCAACCCACAGCGTTCATAATTTTGAACAGATGTTCTAATTTTGTTATTAGTATAGTGCAATTACAATCACAAGCGATTTAAGGTGCGATTGTTACGATTTTTTGACATGTAATTAAATCTGGATTAAAGAGGGGATATTTGGATTGAAAAGGCCATGAGGAAAATTGCGATGGTTGTCTTAAAAGAGCTATAACCGTTTCCTCATAACTACGAACCGATTATTGCTGTGCATTCTGCTTTTACAACAACTGGAGAGACCATCCAAAGTAATTTAAGTTATTTTGGAGATGACTTGCATGCTTTTATAGTACAGTTGAAAATAAACCAGATTTACATTTTGCATCTGGTGAGAGCAGATATTCTCGTGTATTTTTCAATAAGGAAAAGGGATAAGGATGCAAATGTCTTTTACGGAAGGAGATTATCCCATTTGTATTCTTGATATTTCGTTCTGTGTTTATAGTACATGAGAATCAATATTGGTTTAATAACTAAGTAGCGCAACCGACCTTGGCCGTGTACGGTGACAATAGGCTGGTTTAGAATTATTATGAAGTGCTTCCTGTATAATTTTATTTATTATGGAATCACTCGGCAGGGGACAAATCGGACGATCTCAGCGGCTGATTACTCGGTGCAAAATGAATGATATGTGATGGAGTGGTTCACGAAAGCCAGATTTTAAAACGTATCGTGATGATTCAATCATCGTAAGTGACCGCAAAGTTAGTGAGAATAAAAAGACACTCACATAACCCTGTGGAACGTACGCAGCTAAATTTTTTGAGGCATTGACAGATGTTTAGTCTAACTTGTCGTGCTCCCAAACGTTGCACATTATTTGAAACCGTGTTCAAAAATCAGATGCATTATCAAACATATCCTTCATAATTAAGGTACATAAAAATCATTTATAGGAATCCTTTATGCATGAAATTTGATATTCATAGAATTGACAGAGGTGCTAAGACATTAATTAGAATCGAAAAGGCCAATTTCCAACTCTCTGGGAGTATGATCCGTGAACCGTGAGTTGTAAGGTCCTATTGCGAGTGTGAATTAAAAGGAGCCAGATGATGAAATGATTTTTTTATTTAAGTTACACAATCCATTTTCAAACTAATTTACAGGTATGAACTATGAGATTTATTACTTTTAAGTTTTATATTCGTACTGTGTTCGTAGAGGCACTTTAAAGGTGAAAATATGATCAGTATTATATAGTGTAATACTTTGTAGTTTTGTTTTCAATTAATGTTTAAAACTAGCTCTACTGCCAAATAACAATCACTTTAATCGCCGGTACGAAGCATCCGTGGTGCTCAAAATTTAAATGAGCGAATTGCAAGAAAGCTGAGGGTTAAATCTAGTATTTGCATCTGATATTGGCGAGGAAGTGTGACGTATGTCACAACATACATGTAGTGAAGAACTTAGCACGACCTCTTGGGCGTCGGAGATTTTGGGTTCTCGGCTTTGGAGTTTTCGCGGTAACAGCAGTGACTTCACATAGGTACTAAAAAATATTACTCAGCACTCATCGCAGTGAGTGACAGAGAGCGCATTTTCTCGTCCACGAAAACGTGAAGTCACGGACGGACAGCCAGACGGAGAGACGGACAGACAACGGACAGACGGACGGACATGGCGAGCACAATAGGGCATTTTTTCCATAAATGAGAAAATGCGCTAAAAATTACCTCCGTTCGTCAGATCCGACACTCGACGGAAATGCACGAACGGTCTCATACGTGCACGAAGCAAATGTACTTATTACATCACTGTCAAATAAAGCCCTAATCGATCGGTGATGAAAATGTCTGATTTTTCAGCACTGACCAGCGAGAACTTTATAGACCAATTCGGTGAAATTCTCAACAGTTTTCACTCCTGTTACATCTATCAGTGGTGGTAAAGCCTTTGCTAAATGCTTAGTGCATTATAATTGCTAAGCATCTACCGGTTTTATCTACGATACATCAACTGCACTCTATGCCTTTGTATTTGGTGGTAACGTGGGCCGTCATCGTGGCAAGTGACGGTATTCTTTGCAGATCTAATTAAGCTTTACATATTCTCATCACGTGGTGAAATGAAGTTACTAATTTATTAAACATATTAACTTGATCTAAACTTCTGCTCCTGCTAGAAGTTGCAAAAATTCATTTTAATAGACATGTAGACTAATAAATGGAGGTCTGTGCATAAATCGTAATACGACCCATATGGTAATGAAACTGTGATTTATTATCCATATTTCGACACAAGAGTCAGTCAAGTGCCAAATTTATCATTATTGCATATTGTATTATCAAGTGCATGAATTATTTCGCCACACAAATGCAATGAATCGAAATAAATTGATAACATTTTGTTCATTTCGCAATTATTTTCTTCCCAATGAAGTTAACATACCGATAAGAGACAATGAGCCATCACGCCTCCCTAAAGATATTTGTAGACTTTCCTTGATACCCGCAGCGTTTCTGGTAATGAGAATAAAGATTCTGCGCACCATGCGAAAAAATAAAGTTGTTTTATTAGGCAGGGCAACATCTTTGTTTGTCAAACTTGAGATGTAATTGAAAAGTTCGGAGCAATGCATGATTTCCTCCCTTGCGAATTCAGAACGACGCATCTCCCTTCTGGAGCTTTGAAACATCGGTTTGTGCCAAGGACGGATGAATTGGTGGCGGTTTAGTTGCGCCAGGTCATTTTTTGCTGACATGTGATAGAGTGCTAGATCCTTTATAAACATTGGAAGAATAGTAATAATAAACCACACTTGATTTTATATAAAGAAAACATGAATGAGCTTTGCACTGAAAGCTTTCATTGCGTGAACTGTGCTATACTACTTGCTTTGATTCGCTGACTCCCAAAGCGGCTGTTAACATTGATTGAAAAGCCTGTCATCGATTCCTTTGTGGTTATTAAACATGCGAGCTCGAGTGAACCTGCGTACCAACTTCAACAATGGCTTGACTGTATGGCGCTAAATTGCATGTTCGTATATAGTCCACCGGAACGCCCTGAAGACGGGATCAATTATATTGCCAAGCGATTGCAATTGTCTATAGTGTTGCGCAATAGTAATTCAGAGAGCTGAAGCATATGTAGGTA